CTCCCGCTCTCTCGCTTCTACATTCACTGTCTGATCGTAGATCCTCGAGCCTCCGGCCGACTACGTCCCCCTCTATACCCCGTCGCGCAAGCAGATGATGACCCCGACGCCGGCGCACACGGCCGGCGGGTTTTTCATCTCGGAGGACACCCGCGCAGCCCTGCCTGTGGCCGACATGAATGTTGATGGCATCGAGCTGAGCCAGAAGGACCTCGGGTTGTTCGGAGTTCTGCTGGAGCCGGAGGCCGAGCAAGCCGAGCAGGCAATGACCCTGCAGCAGGCCAAGGAGCGGCGTTTGCTGCGGCTGCTGCTTCGCATCAAGAATGGCTCCTCCGCCATGCGCAAGAGCGCCTTCCGGCAAATTACCGACCGCGCGCGGGACTTCGGTGCGGATCTCATCCTGGACAAGCTGCTGATTGCCCTGTCCACCGGCCATCTGGACCCCCAGGAGCGCCATCTCATGGTGAAGGTCCTGAACCGAGTGCTCTACCGGCTGGATGAGTTGGTCCGGCCGCACGTGCGCCGGATCCTGGTGGCCGTGTTGCCGATGCTCACGGATACCGATGATCCGTATGCCCGGCTGGAGGCGCGCGAGGTGATCTCCAACTTGTCCAAGGCAGCCGGCCTGTCGCAGATGATTTCCACCCTGCGTCCGGATCTCGACAGCCAGTACGAGCCGATCCGCAATGTCACGGCCCAGGCATTTGCCATTGTGGCCGTGTCGCTGGGCGTGCCGGCCCTGTTGCCCTTCCTGCGGGCAGTGTGTCCCAGCAAGAAGTCGCACTTTTCCCGGCACACGGGCATCAAGATTGTCGAGCAGATTGCCGTGGCGCTGGGCAGTGCCATCCTGCCGCATCTGGCGGTTCTGGTGGACACCATCAAGCATGGCCTGGGTGACAGCCAGCAAATTGTCCGCATGATCACGGCCTTGGCTTTGGGTGCCTTGGCCGAGGCGGCGGCGCCCTACGGCGGGGAGGCCTTCGCGCCGGTCATCCAGCCGCTGCTGGAGAGCGTGCAGCATCTGTCCGGTCGGGCACTGGCGGCCGCCCTGCGGGCCATCGGCTTCATCATTCCCCTGCTGGATCCGGCCCATACCGGGGCCTATGCGGCTCAAATCATGCCGGTGGTGGTGCGCCAGTTCGCCGCCACCAGTGAGCACTTGCGTCGTGTGGTGTTGCGCGTGGTTCGGCAGTGCATCTCCACCCCGGGGGTGGAGCCATCCTATGTGGCGTCGCATGTGGCCCCGCCCTTCTTCGAGCACTTCTGGGACAACAAGATCGCCTGCGACCGGCAGACCGCGCGTCAGCTGGTGGAGACCACGGCCGAGGTGGCCAACTGCATTGGCGGGGCCAAGGTCATCACCAGCATCATGCTGTCGCTCAAGTCCGACAGTGAGGACTTCCGTCGGATGACCATGGAGGCTATCGAGTTGGTGCGCATCGTCATCACCATCATCATCATCATCTCTCTCTCTCTCTTCTCATTGTCCTTTGTGCCTCTTGTTTGGTCATCCGCACGCCCGGTCTCCCGATGCATCTGACTTTCTCTCCCCCCCCCCCCCCCCCCCCCCCCGGGAACGTGCCCAGACCTCGCCCCCCCCCCCCCCCCCCCCCCCCCCCCCCCCCGGCCCGCCCCTGC